ATTGTTTTTATGAAATTGAAATGGCCAGAAGGCTAATCAATAAAGATTGACTGACTGACCTTAGCCTCTAAGTTTTGGGAAGGCACAAGTTCTGCTGTCAACACAAAAGATGCTGGGTATTAAACACTAGAGTGAACAAAGGTAGATGGATTTTAGGCCTCTATATACACACTTTCCTAGTGTAATTGTAGTCACGAAGGTATGGACCCAGGATTGGGCTGTCCATCTAAAAATCAAGAATGAAATTACAATTGTTTCTGGTTAGGTAGTCAGATTAGTAGACCTGAGTTTATACTGTAAAGGGCATAATAATTGATGTACTTGTGGTCTGAAGCGTGACCAGCCACAATGGATTACTGAGGGAGTTAAACTAACGAAGCTTCTGAGGGTAGGATGTAAAGCCTACAGTGACCAGCTTCCCTTAGTTCTTTTGTCTGATACTTATGAATGGCTATGAATGGATATCCATCTTGAAGCGCCTTTGCAATGCAAGCTGAAAGTGGCTATGTCAGAATAAAAGAGACCTAGAGATTAGACAATTATTGCCCAGATATCCTAAGGCTTGAACTTTGTTCCTCTCTTATGCCATCACATCTGCTACAAATTGTAGATTGTCTTTCTTAGCAAGAAAGGAAGAGAGAGGACATTCAGTGCCAAGCATCGCAGTGTTAATTTAATAAGCATTATTCTTTTAAAAAGATGTACAGAGATATTGATAATCTAGTGCTATTCACCCATTTATCAAATTTGGGCAAAAAACCCCAAGATTCTGGCAAGTAATTGCAAGTTATTCAAGGGGCAAAGCAGGAAGCACACTCTGCCATCTTTGAAGCAGAGATAGATGAAAAAATATTTCTCTAAATCATAAATTGAACAGGATTCTGGGGTATTCCTAACCTGAGTTCAGATCTATGATGAAGTTGAGCTCCTGACATCCGCCCTTAAGTACAGGTAGTCCTCATCTTACGACCATTCGTTAAACGACCATTAGAACTTTCGAAGGTGCTGAAAAAAGTGACCTACGACCAGTCCTCACACTTATGATTGTTGTTCATGCTGGCTGGAGAATTCTGGGAGTTGAACTCCACACATCTTGAAGTTCCCAAGTTGGAAAACAACAGTTCTACACCTTGGTGGTTCTCACTACAAACACACTGATTCACACAACATGCTAAGCTCCAAACTAGCCAACTGTGTTTTAGACTAGCATGAGAACCTACCTGACATGGGAACCTACCTGAAGGCATCTTTGACCATGTACAGCAGAGCAGTGTCTTCTCCTTCATTAAAGGTAGGTAATGGCTGGTTTGCATATCAGAGAATCCCTAGCTTAAATTTCTCTGTAATCACCTTTGCAAACCATTATTTTCTCAGCCTCAATTATTTCACTCCAACCCTGTTTGTAATGTGGTAGTAAGTGATATAATTATCTTATAGGCGTTGTTATGAAATCATTAGATAACCTACTGGATACGTTATTGGTCTGAATATTCCTTGAAATCAATTTCTTGAATTGAAGAAATTTCAATTGAAGAAATTTCAATTCCTTGAAATCAACCTCTAGAACAGAGGTAAGCTGAATTCAAGCTTACTGGATATATTTCTGTTTTTTATTATTATTATTATTATTATTATTATTATTATTATTATTATTATTATTATTATGCTAAGGAAGCAAACACAAACTAAGAATCACAGAACAGACTCAGATGAGCCTCTTTTTATCCAGAAATGCATTTTTTTTTAATTTGAGAACTGAACTCACAGTCTTTTACTAACACATGGATCATTTCAGTTTTGCTCATAAACTCTCTTCAGCTACCTAATTTATTATTACCATTAAACAATTGGAAATCAATAAACCTCTGGTCCAAGCTTGACCTGCTATCTATCTAGAATTTAAACGTTGGCTGCTAGTTCACAATATTTTGGATAAATCCAGATCACCCAATGAGCGGGCTCCTTTCTAGTCACGTTTTCAGGTCAACAAGTTACCTCTAGCCAAGGTGTGAGGGAAGCTAACCTGCTTCTATGATTCTGGGTCCTTAGCCTGGAAAATCTAACAAGACTTGGTAAACCAAAACCTTCATTTTCTCAAGAAAATGGTGCCTTCTGCCTTAGGAGAAGAGACTCCACACAGGCACAAAAACTGCATATTTATATATTATCCAAGTTGTTCAATAACAGGAGTGTCAATCTTTACAGTTCACACCATAATCCATACCAGAAAACAACCTTGGGGGGGGGGGTTCTACACCACATCTCATAAAAAGTAGTAACCTTTTAGCCACATACCATGTGCCCCCTTCCCTCTTCTCCCTTCCTCTGACCCTCAGTTATATTTCTAGACCTTGCTTAAATGCTTACATGTCATTTTACTTCAAGCTCAAGAGTTCACTAACAGTTCAATCGCTTCAATATGGGTCAATCATGGCCACTGTTTAGTCATTCTAAGTATGCACATTCCCACCCATCCTTTACAACATTTAGTTCTCTTTCCCTTAAACCAGCAGCACACAGCTACCATGCATCAAAACGTAAAAACTAGGTTAAAATCACTGTTCCTTCAGTGCAGTGTA